AAAAAAAAAAAAAAAATTAAAAATGAAGCACGCGTTAAATTTGTAAATCTGCAGTTTACTTATCAAATAACGCATGTTATGATCGTTCATTAATTATGACGCTTAAAAATCTTGAAGTAAGAGAAGCGCAAGACAAAATCGTGGTAGAGATTGAAAACAAAGTCCGATGTAAAACAAAGTAGTGAGAGCAACTCTCAAAAGAAAGGTGGAGGGTCAAATGCGGGAGAAGGACCGGCGAAGGTATGCGAAAGGTGACTAATCATCGTCCTTGAACTCGTGTTGCAGCTTCGACGCAGGTGGTACTGACGGTGCAGCAGAAGCCAGTTGCAACGAGCAGCGCGGCGACAACAGCCACGGGTCTACAAGTTGGTCTGGCGGGTGGACATCAGCGACCAGTTAGTCTATCAGCCGGTACCACGATGGTATCACCCTCGCAGCCGGCAACTTCCTTACACAGGGCATCGACTGCTCCAGCAGCCGGTGCACCGTGTAATGCACGTATTACGGGACCTCAACCTGTCGATGTGAGTGGGTTTTTTTCTTTCTTGCATTTTTTATGTAGCATTTTGAAATTGTATAACAATGTGATGTAATGTAATATAATATTTCTTTTTATATTTTAGCATGAGAAAAAGCGGCAGCTGGAAACCCAGCGCGTTCATACATTCCAGCTTATGTTGGAGAAGGAGCAAAGTTATGTTGATAAGCTTCGGAGCGAACTCGCGAAAGCTAGTACTGGCAGTGGTAATGTTAACGTTGTAGCACTACAAACAGAATTAGCTGGCGCCGAAAGGAGAGTACGCACTCTGCAGGAGCAGCTAGCTGCAATTACAACCAATGAACAGGTGTGGTTTGTTTAATGACGTGCTTTAATAACATGCTCAAGTTACTTAAAAAAAATTTCTATTTATTGCACTAATATCCTGCATCAATTTTACGTAATATAAACTATAGTTGTTCATACATATATACGATATCATAAATATTATGTTATTATTCATAATCTTATTCACAAAGACGTGAGTTTGTCATAACGCTTATATTCATTAACATTTCTTATGTCCCTATATATATTTTATTGTGTCTTGCTTTTATATCAGTGTTTGACAGTTTATGCTATTCAGTGTATTAAATAGTTGCTCGGCATGATATTATTGGAATGTTCATCTTTATGAATGGAAAGCATAATGACGAGAAAATGAATATAAGTTTTATCATTGATTATTATAGTAGTTCAGTAACTTTTGATGTATGTATCAATAGCGTATAGTTATAATGATAAACAAAGAGAAATGACAAAACCTACATTCTGCTTTTACACATGTACCTTTTGAGCTGTACAGATACAACTCTTATATAATGTATGTTTGTATTACAATTCAAATTTTCAAATGCAGTCATATAGGGATGTATTTCAGCTTTTGCTAACTTTATCTAACCAGCTTTTGTTGTGTCTTACAGCTTTGCTCGTTGGTAACAAACACCTCGTGTTCCCCGGGTTATTATTCACCCTTGAGTAGTAGCAGTGGTGATGTACCACCACCTCTACCATCTCGTAAATCCTTGTCCATGCAAAGCCTGTCTCCGCCACCATTGCCTCCCAGACCTCCGCCTACTACAAATACGCACCACGTAGCCCAGTTGGAGCTGGAGCGTCATCTGTTGACTCATTTAACGCCCTCAACCACCAGTCATGGCATACCTAACTCTGTAAGTAGTCTAATCGCTAAGTCATTGAATATATAATTTATATCAGTGTATGCATGATAAAAAACAAGTACCATGTAATTACAATGTGAATACTTCTAAGAGTAACTCATATTTATATGTTGGACAATTTAAAGTTTTATATTTTATGATATATTTCATAAATCCCATTCTTATTAAATTTCATTTGTTTCATTTGATACGTTTGATCGCAATTATAATAAATCATGATCAAGTATTTATTTTGTACTAAGAATTATTATGCTTTTTTTGCAAATACTTTTACTTTATGTGTAATCAAAAACTTATGACGAATATTACATTTCAGAAGCTGTGCTTGTTTACTGAAGTGTTGCTTGAGTAATACATTTTATTAAGTAATATATTTTAAACATGTTTGTGATATGTGTGTTAAAATATAGTTCATGTGATTTCACAAAAATTTGTAGTTATGCAGAGTATGTACCTTTAAACATCGTTTCGTAAGCATATGTTTTATTTCATTTACTGTGATTGCCGTGTTTAGCAATTTTTATATCATATATGTAAAATTTAGTGTGTAATGTGTGATAATGCATATAATATATTTTTTGTAGTATTTTTGCATATGAATTACACAATATTTTATTTCATTAATGCATTATTTTACTGATATAATAATGTTTCGGTTATTATCTATTATCTAATAAATAAGCATTCAACTTCTTTATAGCTTTCACAAGGTGCAAATTTGGGTTCCTCAAATTCACTTAATAAGCACCAACGAACAAAATCCAGTCCAGAACAACTGGGAACAACAAGCATTTCTCCATCAGAAGCTAGTAGACGTTTAATAGCATCAGAATCAATGAATGATCTTTCTCCTCCAAGGCATGTAAGGCATAGTGACATTGATATAGATGAATTACCTCATATCACTCCTCCAGGAACTCCACCTCCACCATATCCAGTTGCTAGTCCAGGAAATGATACCTCGAGTTCTACTATTAATGATGTAAGCTTTTTATAAGAAAACTGAATCCCTTAAATAATTTGATATTTATTTATGTGTTTTTGCTTTCTTTCAGACAATATTAAATGAAGTCATTCCTGGACTGCCGACATTACAGCAGCCAATTATGTCAATGGAAGATGATGATATGAGTGATCAAGAAGTAGTGAGTCTCATAAATTTTCTTTTCTGTTTATTTTAAATAAAATAATTTATATAGATTTTCAATTGCTAAATATGGGAAATCAATCATTGTTGTAGGGACAATTAGAAGATCATGGTCCATTTAAATCTTTGTCTCGATTATGGGGACATCATGCACACCTTGCTGTATTTATTAATTATGTTTTATCAAACAGTGATCCTTCCAGTCTGGTAAGCTGTGAGATGTTGTCTTTAAATATCAAATTTTATTTTCTTATTATCACTTAAAATCATTCATGTTATTTTAGTTGTTCTATTTAGTAACGGATTTGTACAAAGAAGGCAATGCAAAAGAAATGAGGAAGTGGGCATATGAAATTCATTCTAGTTTTTTAGTACCTGGTGCAGTAAGTAATTTGAAAAAGATATATCTTTTTGAACATATAGACACATTATATTTAATTTAAAACTGTTTTACATAGCCTCTTCGTCTGCATAATGTAGACGAAAATGTAGCACATGAGATAGATGACGTTCTTTTGAAAGAATCCGATAAGGAAGAAATTTTACGAAAAGTATGTATTTCACAAAAATGTCTATGCAATTATTTGTTTGATATGAATTATAAAATGTTATATTTCTATCAGATTTTTTGGAAAGCACGTACACGTGCAAAAGAAGAACTGAATGAGCAACTTGCAGACTTCCAACAGAAGAGAACTGCTGGATTAGGTACATTATTTGGTCCAAGTGACGCTCAATTGGATGAAAGTGCATCTGATAGGATGCGTGAGACAAAAATCATAGAAACGTATCTATTACCCAAAATGGAGCCTTATTTGTAAGTTTAATAAAAATATAATCTTTATTCTTAACACTTCGTGACATTTAATATTACACTATTATGTATAATGTTCCAGAGAAGATATTGAAAAAGAACATGTAGATTTGCGACAATTCACAACAGCAGCTGGTTTGGCAACAATATTAACAAAAATTTTCCAAGTCCGGCCAGTATCGCTTGATCGAGTACCTACTTTTGTCGCAAAAGATAAGTCAAATCTCAAAGCGCGTTTGCTTACGGGAAAAACAAGAAAAATGACAATCAGGGGTCATCATTTTGTCGCTCATCAATACTTTACTATTACTTATTGTAATCATTGTCAACTTATCATTGGCGGAATTGGACCTCAAGGGTATTTATGTAGTGGTATGTATAATTTTATAATTGTTGATAAATGAAAAATTAAAAATAGATTTAAGGTTACATACGGATATCGTTAGAGTTAAACATTAAAACGACCTTTCCATCTTTCTTAACCTGCTACAGATTGTTCTCTAAGCGTTCATCGTCAATGTGTTCGTGTAGTAGAAGAAAATTGTCCAGGACCATTGGTTAGAAAGGAAAGAGGTAATGATCGTATAAGTAAATTGATGGAACGTATTAGGCCTGAAAGGAAACCACCATCATCGCACCATCATCATTCTCAAAATCACATGCTTCATGGTAAGTAATTTAAATGTATATTACATTCTAAGTATTTCTAAGTTATAAAATCTACCTTTTCCTTTTTGTGCATATATTTATTGTAAATAAAATTTACAAATATTTTTTGTACAAAGCTTTTTCAACTGTAATATAAAATATTTCATTATTACAGTTGATAAGATCAAAAGGAGCGAAGAAGATACTGGTGCATTGACTGATGGTGAAAATGGTAAGTCTGTTATTTGCATTAAACTATTAGATGTAGTAGCATTAGAAACATACATTTTTAACTTTATATGATACATAATTATATAAACCTTTATTGCCTACCTATACCATATTAAACCTTTATTGCCTACAAAGTAACTGTATATTGTTCCAATATATGATTTGCTTGTCGTTTCCATATTTTTATTGACATACTTTATTTTTAAATATATGTTCAGATTATTTTAAAATTTTTAAATGTTATAGTAATAGTCTAGTTTATTAATTCGTGGAAGATAATAAATATTCTTTTTAATATATGTATAAGATAAGAATATGTTCATCTTAGTCACTTCATTTGTTATATAGCGCGATAGATCATCAAGTGCCATTAAATTTTGTACTCGGAACAAAATCTACACTATTGTTGTTCAA